GTTGAACCAGCACATGAAAGTAGGCCTCCTTGATTGACATAAGGTAATCCCCGGGAAAATCTCTGTCACTGTCAGCTTCAAGGTCTCCATTTTGAATATGGTCCTCCTAGTGCACTTTTCAGATATTTTAAATCTAACACAGTTCCATCTTTCCCAGATCTCATTTACCGGGAAAAAGACTGGTCAATTGCCACATGAAAATAAGCATTTAAGTCAAGAGCATCATATACTCCTGGGGGAATTCTGTGCCACTGCACATGCAGAGAATTTATGTCCCCCACAGATTTCTTTGCTTCCCTGCAGAAAAACGACTTTCTGACGGGGAAGCAAAGGGAAGTCACAAGAGCGGATATGCGACCCTCCCCAGCAGTACGTTTTGGATGCTCAGGGCAACTGGCAGAGAGAGAAATCACTGTGGGACAAGAGGTAGGACTGGGGAAGACCTGGCTGGTGACTCGTACGCTGCGCTAGGCTCAGCTGCTAGTCTGGTCTGAGGAAGACGGGACTTCCTCTTCCCCTGCACGGCATCCGGGGCTGGGTCAGACCCACCCCAAGATTTCTCCCTGGCTACAAGAACTCTACAAACTCCTTTTCCCCCACCCCACCCCCTGCTTTCTACACCCATTGCTCCTCAGCTGCAGGGGGAGGGATCCCTGTACAGGGAAATGTTCGCCCATCCATCCACCCACCCAACCCCTGTGCATCCAGATCCCCTCATACCCAGACCCTCCCACTAAGCCTCACCCACCCACACTCAGAACCCCCCGATGAGCCCCACACCCCCTGTACCCAGATCCCCACCTCACTAAGCCCCAACCAGTTGCACCTGGATCCCCACCCCACTGAATCCCACTCCCCCAACTTCTGGACCCACCACTGAGCCCCCCACATCCAGACCCCCCGTGCAGAGCTCTAACCCCCCCATATCCAGACACACACCCCCCACTGAGACCCAATTACCTTCACCCCCGGCAGAGTCCCATTACCATTGCACCCAAAAAAACCCAACAAGCCCCTGTACATCCAGATCCCCTACTGAGCTGCCCATACCCAGACTGCCCCACAGAGAACCCTCTCAACCCACACCTGGATCCTCTCACACTACGTCCCCCCACACTTGTATCCTGTCTTGCTGAGCCTGCCTGCCCACACCTGGTGCACCTGGCATGGAGGGGCAGGGCCCTGGGGTGTTTATGGGGTAGGCCTGGTCCTTGCACTGTGTCAAGGTTAGGTGCAGCCTCACCGCTGAATCCGTGTCTTGTGGAGCGGGAGCTGCACAGTGATCTCCCATCTCTGTGCAGCCAGTGGCCTATGTTCCCCAATGCCATGCTGAGACCTCCACATTTATTTGGCAAATAAAATTTGCAGAATTTTGAAGAATTTTAAAATATTGTGCACAGAATTTTTATTTTTTTGGCATAGAATGCACTCAGGAGTAATCATACCAGTCCCTTGGATCTAAGGAAGGGATAATAGATGCTAGAGTGACCATCTGGAATTTCATTTTCTTCAAGTACTTGTTTAACAGCCTTACATCTATAAAATAGGCCTGATATTTCCTTTTCTTTTGGGATTATGAAGTAATGTGAATAAAATCTTCCCTTTGAAGAACATGGGAACGTCCTGTATGGCCCCCATAAGGAGGAGAGACTCCTGAAGTAGCATGCTCTTGTGAGAGCAGACCCTCAAGAGGAATGGGGAATAGTGGTGGGAAGGATGGGGTCAGAAATAAATTGTAGGGTGTATCCCAGTTCCACCATGCTTAAGACCCACTGATCTGGGGTGATGCAGGTCCACGCACTTAGGAAGTGGGATAGATGGTTGGCAAAAATAGGGGTCTGGAAAGATGGCACTGTGGTGTGCCATCTGTGGAGTGGTATGCTGCTCTCATCCAACAGGTCAAAATGATTGCTTAAATGATCAAGGATCCCTAGAAGAGCTGGCAGCTGCAGAGGAGGGTGGAGACGGAGGATGCCTTTTGTAACCCCTACTCCTCCTTTTGAACAGGTCCTTGGAATGTGGCAAGAAGGGCTGAAATCACTGGGAATGCAGTAGGTGGAACTGCTTTCTTTTTGTTACGGGTGTATAGATCCCCAAGACTTAAGGGTCACCCTTGAATCCTTACAGCTGTGGAGTCTGTCAGCACTTTTCCTGGAAAACAGCAAGGTGCCCTCAAATGGGAGGCCCTGAATTGTTTGTTGAACCTCTGGGGGGAGGCCTGATGCCTGCAGCCAAGATGAATGCTGCATTGTGATGGCAAAGGCCATAGCTCAATCCACAAAGTCTACCACATCCAGGCTCACCCGCAATGCCATTCTGGCAACTAGTTTGCCTTCCTCCATAAAAGCAGGGAACTCCTGCTTTGCATCATCAGGAAGTTTGTCTTTGAACTTCAGGATATTATCCCACAGGTTGAAATTGTAATGACCCAGCAGAGGTTGCTAGTTCACAATCCTGAGCTGTACCTTGTGGAATAAAGTTTCCTGCTAAACAGATCTCGTTTTTTCTCCTTCCTTTCCCTTTGGAGCAGAAGCCTGGTGTTCTTGCCTCTCCTTTTGTTGGTGACTGCAACTACCAGAGAGCCTGGAGGAGGGCTGTTGTTAAAGTGTTTGAATCCCTGTGAAGGGACATAATCTCTCTTCTCCACCCCTTCAGTAATGAGGGGCAGAGAAGAAGGGGTCTGCTATAACATCTTGACAGGCTCCAGGATAGCCTCATTAATAGAGAGAGCTACCCTAGATGGTCCTACCAAGGCTAAAATGTCTACAAGCCTGTGTGATCTTTCTTGTACCTATTCTGGCTGGATAGCTAGAGCTACAGCCATGTTCCTCAACAAGACTTGATGAGCACTAAAATTATCAGGAGGGAGAGAGATAGATTAGGCCATTGCTGCCTCATCAGGTGACTAAGAAAAAGAGGCTAAAGGTGGGTGAGGACATCCCTCCTCCAATTCTTCTATAGGGGATTCCTGGGCACGCAGCTCCGCCTACACAGTACTGATCCCAGTACAGGGAGAAGGAAGATGGTGACCTTCCTTCAGATGTTCCCAGTACTTTGTTGATGTAGAAGTGTGAGAAGGGAGCAGAGAGGTTCTGGAATATGGTGGGAAGCCCCAGTGGGTCCAGTAGGGCGATTGGTATGAAGGTGAGACCCAGCTCTGTGTAGGCCATTGGCTCTTAGAATGCTGAAGCTGGTACCACGATGGTCAGGCAACTGCACTCGGGCTATAAAGGAGCCAACTTCTGAGTCCGATGAAGAGTCTGTTTCCTCTGACCACAGGGGAGCTGAACCCCCCTCTCCTTCAAACCTCTGTTGCTGGTGATGGAGTTACTACTACTGCCCCCCTTGTAACTATTAACCCAGTGGTTAGAGCTACCACCCAAGATGAAGGAGAGCTGGGTTCAGTCCCTTGGTCTGCCTGATGTGGAAGGGGTCTCCCATCTCCCAATCTTTTCTATTGAAGCTGTTCCACTTTTTTATAAATATTGGCATAGGGGGACTAGAACCTAAGTCTTCTACTTCACAGATAAGTGCCCTAGCCACTGGGCTACAAAGTCACTCACTCTGTTACTGGCCCAATGAATATTTATTTTTCTAATTACTAGGCTAAAGGTTGATTTTCTTCTCTGTTTTTCTTGAAAAAGGGCTGACCTGGCTTAGGACTATTCTCACACTTCTTATCAAACTGTCTGTACTGGGCTATCTTAATTATCACTTCAGAAGTTTTTTTCTTCTTACTTAATTGGCCGTCCTTCAGAGTT